GGTTAAACACCGCTGGCTTTCTAGTTGCTTTTAGCTTGCCACTAAACTATACGTTAACATAAATGTCTGATCAATGTCAAAATTTTTATTAGACTCTTATGCTTTTCAATTTCACATAAATGGGCAGATATTTATCTGAGACAGAATTTAGCTCTTTTTATCTGGATTTTTGTTCTAATTTATGTTTTCTAACTGCTGTGTACAGTAAACGATATGAATTAGATTGTTTCTCTTAAAATACACTTAAAAATTGGCATCTTTACATGTAGTGTGACAAACATAATTTCAAATTATTTAAAAAAAATATTGTAATGCAACCTTAACGTACACAAAGAATTTATTATACAAGAAAAGAATAATATTTATGTTAAAATATTTATTGTCCAATCTCGACTACGAGAATTTGTTTACATGAAACGGCCTTTTTTTAAACAAATATCTTTATTTTAAATATGTTAATCTTTACTTGTTACTAATCTATAGAAGAGAACGTTATTATTTAAGTTCAGATGCCAAATCAGAGTTCAAAATATTAAAAAATTCAGAAATGAAGAGTACAATAATTAATAGAGTGTTTTAAATAAATAAAATCGGGAAGAAGTTTATTTTTCCTTAAAAAAAACATCCATGTAATTTTCGGCGTTGTAAATCGGGTCACATTCATAACTACATCAACATCCCCAAGTTTTTAAAACATGATTTTTGGTGTCCTTTACATATAGTATTGTCATTATCATATTAATGCAATATAAAAATAAGCCGCATCTTAGTTCTCATGCAGGAAATAAAATATTCCATGAATTTTGCTACTATCAAATGGAAATTCTGGAAACTTGCAAAATACCTATCTGAAGACTGTACCAAGAAACAGTCTGATATAAAAATGCCACTTTTGGAAATAAATACAATTATTCAGTGCTTGGCTTTTCAATTGTGTATTTAGATAAAGCATATCTAATCAATAAACTCGTCATTATTACCAGGTATAAAATTCATATAAATGTCCTCAAATTTAGTTCGTTTTATCGATAAAATAAACTTCAAATAGTTTCAAGGCGAACGATATAATTTTATACTAAAATTACAGAAATACTGTATAAGATTTTTTTCTGATAAAATGTGAACGTTTTCCTATAAAATTTAATCGCTTTTGGACTCAAAAAATGCTCGTTGTATTCGTTTTATTTTTATTTCAATTTTCTTTAAATAAAGCGATTTAAGTAACATCCAGAGGTAAGGGAAAAATAAGAAAATATCTAAGCTAAATAAAAATAAATAAAGTGGTAATAAAATCGGTAGAGTTTACAATTCTTTTCCGGAGGAAACGCTCAAGAAAGAAGAGCAGCTCTGAAATATATGGCCGTGTCCCGCCCGACACTTCTGGAGAAATATGGCACCGGAGAAAAATTCTGTTTCCTCACTCCCACAACTACCCCTTTAGTGCTCTGTAGAAGATATTAAGTAGAGACTGATATATAACTAGAGACTATTATATTTTTGATTCATTAAATTCTATATACGATTAGGATTTTATGTGAGTCTTAAATATTTATCAAATTAATGATTGTTTACTTTTCTAATTCTCATTAAGTTCTTTGAACGATTGTGATTTTGAGTGAGCCTTTTAAGAATTTAAAAATAAAAACTATTAGTGATGGTTAGCTCTATAAATTTAAGTTAAATGAACGATCAGGATTTTCAGTGAGTCTTTAAATATTTATAGAAATAAAAACTATGTGATTGTTAATTTTCTTATTTTTATTAAGTTCTATGAACGATTATGATTTAAAATGTGTCCTTTAAGTATTTATGAAAATAAGAACTGTAACATTTAATTGTCGGTAATTTTGTAAGAAAAAATTGCGTTTGCGGCTTTTAAACATTTTTAAACTTCAGAGAGCGCATAAATTGGTCGCAAATCGGATAGAAAAAAAATTAAGAAAGAAAATGATTTTTTTTTATATATATATATATAATCTGGCTGAACAACCCCAAAAAAGGGCAAAAATAACGATAACATACATAAAAAAGATGATTTTCTGATGACAGTTAGAAAAAAATCTTATTCAAAATCGGAGATTCGAGAATTTATCAACTAATAAATTTTTTTCGCAAATATCCGAAGATACCTGCTTCAAACAGATTATTCTTTTTAAAATTAAGAAAATATGATAATGGATTTGTTTGTGTCGTAAATACTATTATCGATTTTTAAAATATATAATTCATTTTCAAAATACTCCATAATCAAAGGTAAATATAAAATTTTAGCATGAGCCACAGTAAATTTTAGAATGAATAAACAATTTTTTAAAAATTGCAGTTTAATTACAGCTTTCATTAAAAGTACCGAAAAAGGAAGTTTCTATAAGCAAATAGCTCTAATTATACTCAGAACTTAACGCAAGTTCATAAATATTTATTCGTTTGTTTTATTCTTCAACTTTTACTTTACGTTTAAAAATATTTTTTACCATATATCAATATAAAAGAATTAGAATGATAATGTCACACTTTTCAATCATTTCAATTTTTCTTTTTCTTTTCTCTCTTCATTCTTCTTTTCATTTAATTTTGTAATTTTGTGCAGCTAAATTATGATTATTCGTTGATATGAGAGATAACTTACGCGTCATCGTAATTTTGAGTTACATTCAGAAAATAAGAAGACTAGTGAGTCAAGCATCGCACTAAATTTGTTGTGAGGAAGAAATTTTGAGTTAGAATAACTCGCAATTCAGTAAAAGGAAATTTACAAATCCCTTCCATGGTTAACCTAACGGCAATCTCGTGATTTATTTTTCAAAGTTTACTTGACTATTGTAGTTATATACATAACTATAGTGAAAAATGAATATAAGATCTTATAACTTTAAAGGGAGAGTTTCCATGACTTTGTCATTTAGTTTCAATTGCAGGGGATAAACTATATTGTTATAAACAGTGATACAGTTTAGCAACATACGAATTTGAATAGATTGTCTTTAAAACTACATTTTTTTTAAAAGCTTTTTCGTACCATTAAAGTTCTAATTCAATTCTATTCAATTATCGAGGATAAACTATTTAGTTTTAAACTGTGATTTAATTTAATTTAATAGTTTAGCTCTCGACTTCAATGCAAGGTGTACAGTATATTTTCAACTAGGACACAGAGATAAGGTTGCATCGAATGTATTGAAATCACCGACAGGAGAGTGGAAAAACTAGAAATAACCATGTCTTTAAATCTCATGTTTACTGTAGCTATTTTCTTTCTCTCCTTTCCCCCCTATGATACAAAACGTAAGAACGTAATAAAATATATATATATATATATATATATATATACTCCNTTGCTTGACATCATCTTCTGAAAAAGTAACTCACACAGGATCATGATGGCTATATATATATATATATATCGCATGTAGGGCTGTAAACTTGCAACTTTGTGTCCGACTCAAAATGCGAAAAGAGAAATAAATCATTTCTATTACTACAAACTCTCTTTCATTGAAAATATTTTGAGGGAAACTGACCCGCAATTGTGGAAGGGAGAATGCGGAAACCTTCCACGGTTAGCACGATGAGGGATGAGACTATCTCATAAATCGTCAATCAATGAGGGGCCCGGATATAAACAGTCATCACTTATCACAAAAATGTAATGAATTCCAGTATCCAAATATGAAGTTGCTTAGAATTTGAATCACATCAAAGAAGAATTTGCGTTTTAAATTTAGATCGAATAACGAATAGATGCAGTTATTCATTTAAACCTTTTTCTACGTCAAAAGTGTTTTTGGTTCAACCAATATAAAAATTGGTATTATATTTTTAAAATAGCGCTTAATATATTTTTAATATATGTGCTCCTTCACCGTGTGAAAAAATAAATAAATAAAATGTTATTGATAGAAATTGATTAAAACTTTTAAGTACATGATAGCAAACTCTTATTAAATGTTTACCACTATTTTAATTTTAATATTTTGTTAAACCGTAAAAAAAATATATTGGTCACAAAAGCAGCGAAATATATATTAAAGGTAATGGTTTAAAAGAAGTCGTTGTTGCTAAAATCTGTTGTCGTTGGGTTAATCCTGATAGTTTTTGGAAAATGAATTATATTTTCTCTCAAATAAAATTTAAAATCTGACGAGGGGTTTCCTTTGAGAATAGCCTCAAATAAATTAAATATATGTATGCATTTCTCGAGTTTAGTTCTGAGTCTGACAAAGATTACCTCAAGAAAGCTTTCCAGAATTTATCTATGGATAAAAGTTAGTTTCAAGTATATATTTATAAATAGAAGGAACGAGAAGCTTTTAATTATGATAAACATAACAAGATGCAGTCAATTGCCTTAAAATGTGTGATCTTATTTTTCCTTCAAAACTTTGTTTACGCTGAAATGAAATATTATATTGAGATCTAATAGCTTGTAAAAATTAAAATTATTTTATATCATATTATAATGATTTTACATTTTTTTCTAAAAGTGGAATTTGTTTCATCTATCTAAGTCACAAAATATTTATTGAACTCTGCATTTTTACAGCGTAATAAAACATGTAGCAAGAAGCCAAAATTAAAATGAAAATTAATAATGCGATCTATTAATTTATTAACTTAATATTTTTTTGTTTTAATTTTTATACTGACTATCAAGCTTTATATTTTTAAATTAATTAAAAAAAAAATTTCTTACAGTGTACAAATATTGAATAAAACTTTATTCTAAAAAATGCTCCATTCAAAAAGAAAAAAAAGAAATATACGTAGTAAAGATGATTATCGTCAAAAAGCAATAAAAACAAACGGTGTAGAACCTTCTTTCGGAGCCAAAAAACCCAAATTAAATGATTAAACAAGTGTCTTTGGCAAGATCTCTTTTGTACTTAAACGAGCTCTTTTCCACCGTTTTATAGCGGCCATAAAAATGTCTAGTCAGGTCTCCCCTTTTAGTAGCAGCAATTTTATAGCCGAAGGCGAAAAGGGACTGAAAGAGTCTTGGACAAAATTATGGTCGTGCCGAAAGTTTTATAGGTCCAACGGAGCCGAGTTTTATGGCCGAATGGGAGGGGTAATACGTTCTCTGACAGCCTAGAATATTTACGGCTATACGAGAGACTTGAAAAGCATTGCCCGAAACAGCAGCGCTTTCAGACGGGGTGAGTCCGCCCGGCTCGTCGGACCGCATGTTCTACGGTTGTATCAAAATAACATCTGGATGACTTTTCTCGAGCACTTATTTTCCTCTAACTTCGAATTTAATCTAGTTTTCTCTGATTGGATCAATCCTATAGATTTCAGTCTTTTGAGATTGGAAATCTTTATGAATTTTTATGCTCAATGTTATATTTGTCGAAAAAAATGTATTGATTTTTATACGGTTTTGTTCGAAAATTCTCATTTTGTCGTAGTAAACAACCAGCGGTGAAATTTATTAGGCCTAGTATAGATGGCGGAAACGAATTTCTATGTAGAATCACCCAGAAATTTCAAATACACACAACAGAAATTGGATTACCATTAACTCATGGTAAAGTATACTTGTTTTAATATTCTTAATATTACTAGGGAATAATTTGTTCACACCAATTTCTTATCTAACAGCTCGATTATAACATTCTCAAATATATTAATAATTTTGAATTGTTTACATTTTGTTTAAAATGAAAATTATCGATATAGATTATATATATTGTTTAAAAATATTTTGTAGAATGTTGATGTTTTGGATTTTTTTTCTTATTGCTTTTTTAAAATAAATCTCTAATATTATTTAATAAGCTATATGTTTTAAGATAATTAACATTGTGCTATAAGTATTTGTGCCAGCGTTAGCTTTCATTTAATTAACTATAGTACAACTGCTTTTAAACTTTCTAAATAGAAAAATGCATAAATGAAATTTAAATTGCGTACTTTTTATGAAAAAAATTAAAACTCAAATTGATATTTAATTTGACGAAATTATATTTCAAGCATAAATTTCAAAATAAATGTAAGTTTATCATTGAAACAATGAACATTTTCTAAATAATACTTTTATAAATGTAATTAAAAAGACTAAAAACAGAAGTCATCTGAAAATTTAATATCAAAAAATGTTATTTTCTAGCTCCAGTATTCCTAATTTTAACATTTTACACAAAATATAAATTTTCATTTTTAGAGTTATTAAAATAATAAGCGATAGTAAATATCATGAGCACAATGTTAACACATCACAAAATATTTGGGAGAAAAAAAATTAAGACTAATTATATAGACTTGTCATTGAAAATGTGTAAATACTATTATTATTTCATCTAGAGTTTATTAATAGTATTTTCCCAACTAGATAAAAATTATTTTGTCTAACATTTATTTTCAAAACATAAATAACAATTTGTAAATTTGTACTACTACATACTTTAAGTCTTCACTCATTTAAAATATATTTTGAAAAATCTTTTAATAAATAAATTAGTAAATCAGCAATTAAAGTGCAGGATGTGACTAAAAAAATATAGTGTAAATTTGTTCAAATAAAATCAAGTACCAGATTAATAACCAAATGTGCTTTATGATAGGTTTCCATATGTATAGATATATATATGTGTATATCTAATCTTTGAGCTTTAACAAAATAAATTGTTGCTATTAAATAATTGATTTCGGTATGATTTGTAATTCCTTATTTGGGTCATTCCACAGTAAAAAAATCTAGAAGCTATTTTATTTACAACTGAATATATATTTTTAAATGCATAAAATATCTAAATCATTATTATATATTGTTATTTATTATTATATAATGAGATAACTTGTGCTGGACCAACTTTAGCGTTTTTACAGAGATAAATTGAAATTAGTATTGATATCAAAATTTTTATAAAGAAAAATAATTAATAGAAAAACATATTAACTAATTAAAAATAGAAATTTGCTTTGAATTACTCATATAAAAATAAGTGAAAATCAGTTTTTTCTAACAGTAATAATGCCAAAATAAATATTAAAAAAATTGTGTAATTTATAAGCATTTAAACTTAAATATAATTCAATTCTTCAACTTTTAATTTCTTTTCAGTATAAGTGATATTTCGTAAAATTGTGTAAATAGGAAGTACTTGCGCAATTTTTAGGAAATAAAGTTAGTCAAAATATTCAAAAATATATTTCTAAAAACACAATATTTTATTTATTAATTTTTTTATAAATATTATTTTTATTATTTCTTTGAACTAATCTTCATACCTATTTTCCACAGCAATTAAGAAGATAATTTAAAAAAATTTCTCATAATAGTGAAAATTTAAATAAAAAAAATATATAGAAAAAAAATTAAGATGATCGTATATATTCCTTTAAATGTGTGTTTATCAGTTTAACTGGATATAATAAAATTTTGGTGGAAGAAATTGTTTTTGATTGCTTTAAGTATGAGCATGTAATAATAAATAGATATTATTGAACTTACTTTGCCCGACATGAACTTTTCTCATCCAGGGATAAATCTGTGGAGGATTGCCTTGAAAAGCAGCATTGCCTTTTTGAGATGTTGTAGAACTTTGAGGTGATGGTGACTGCTGAGGACTGGATTCCTGTGGTGATGAATCAGGACTTAGGTGACGGCTAGTCGAGGATTTTGAAGTGGGTGGAGTGGGTGAATCTCCCTGTTCAGGACTTTCTGGGGGTTGAGAACTGCTGCTTGTGGTCGAAAGATCTTGTGGTGATGCCGCATGAACAGTCGGTGGTTCGGCATACTTGCAACTGGGTACCGGCGTCGCCGATGGTGTGGGGGTCCTCGAACTCTGACTACTAAGGGAATGACCAAGTCTCTGTTGTTGAGAACAACTACTAAAATGATGCGGGTCCCCATTCTGATTTTGCAAATGTTGGGAATAAGGGGCCCCATACGTCTGAGGCTGGACCGGGGAAGATGGCCCGTTATAACAGTTTCCGTACGCCTGAACCGGCGGCGTGTAATAGTCCTGAGCCGTCGGGTCCTGCCTGGCTTGACTATAGCACGACGTCAGCGAGTTTACGAACTGATACGAACTCATAAGTTCCGTTTGATTTGTGGAGCAGGCTATAATTTTTCCCCGAAGAACAACCTCGCAATTTTGATGAATTATGGCTCTTACTGCTCACTGGGAAACCTCCGGCACACTTTTAATAGCACATTATTCCAAATATGGTACAGCCCTATCGACCACGTGATACCGCTCCGCCAATAGGGGACAGAGTGAACGTGAAGTACATGATCGAGCCGGCTCACAACTCTGAGTGCCGATTTGCGGCTAAAAGTGTGAATTATCTCGCAATAATTGTTTATACCAAAACCTTCATTAAAGAAGAGAGAAAGTTTTAGGATTAAAGTTCGTCTAAGTTCTACGATCTTCTTACTCTCAGGTGAGTATGTCTAAACTCTAGGAGCGCTTCCTTTAGAATGCTCTCTCCCAAGTGCTCATAGCGTTAAGGTTACTACTTACAGCGCCTCCCATCTACAACTTCGTGTTATTCAGCTGCTTAGAAATCAAGCTGACAGGGCAACTAGTAACCCTAGCGGCCGCGCTCCGTCATTTACCAAACTTTTTATTTTATTTATTTTATTCTTTGCCGATTCAAATTGAAAACTTTACTTCTTTTGAATACTGAATTTCTAAACAATCTAGAAACGGCGCATGCGTGTCTTAAATCGAAAAATAGTTAACTTTTTTTTTCCTTTTCTGAGGATTTTGTTTTCGGTTTCAGCGGCAATCACTCAGTAGTATTTCGGATCAAAATAAACAATACTTTCTCATATTTCAAATTTTTTTAGTAAACATGAATTTTTTTAGTAAACATTTATAAATTTTTGCACAAAGGAAATTTTTTTTAATATATTTTTAGAAACTTTTCGTTTAAAGTTGTTAAAAAATAGTTCGAGATAATGAATAGCGTTAGATCGTTATCTTAAAAATGAAGATAATAAATTAAACTTCAACTCAGGAGATCGAAAAGATAGATTTTTTTTTTTATTTACCTTTTTCTTCGAAAAAGATTTTTCCGAGATATGCTACCGATTAATAAAAGCAATGTGCTTATCAGTTCAGGAAAATAATACCGCAGTTTTTCAAATAAATAATTCGCTGCAGCTCTACGTACCGAGGGGTGTTCTACTGAGGATATTCGTTCGAAGTTCTAACAGAGGAGGTCTCAGAAAAGAGATGAGGTTGTTCTGCGAGTGCTTCTCGCGCTATGAACAACGAATGTCGGTGCAACTTTTTCCACTCAAGCCTGCTCCTTCCTCCTATAGCTCATTTTCTTGAAGATCGATCAGCTCTCTCTAGGCGAATGAAACGTTCTGTACTTGCCCAAGCTCTGCAATCACATTATAATTTCACTCCCCCGCTCACCCACCTTCGACCCTGCAATTAATATCTGTCATTCTCTTTCTCCAACTGTTCTTTCTCTTCTTTTTCTTTCTATTTTCTTTCTTTTTGTCATCCTTTATTCCAAACGTCGCGCATGTTTTTTTTTCTCCATTTCTATTCATCCGTGTAGTTCTGATGTTGATATCTAAAAAGAAAGAAAAAAAATAGTTTGAACTCATTAAATATGTCTCTCTAATTATATGGATTTCCGAAAATTTTGTTATGTTATTTTGTGATAGTTAACGCTGTCAAGTTATTTTTATTAACGATTTTATTAAAATATAGCGAAAATTATCAGAATATGTAAGAAATCTGTAGAAGAAAATCCCACAAGGAAAAAATAATTTTTTAAAGTATACATATAGTGTACACTAAGAAAAAAGATATGGTCAAAACTACCAGAATATGGTAAAATATGGCGCTTTGATAACAATTTTTGTGAAATTAACCCTTAAATATAGTATTATATAATGTGATAAAATTCGGTAAATGTGACAAAAATTGGTCATTTTATCATGATATCATAGAGCATGCTATAAAAGCTATTTATGCGGTTCAGTTTACCTTTAAAATTTGTATCTTTTACTAAATGTTTGTTAAAAAAAACTTCAATTTTGAAAACCAGAATTTCAGGTAAATCGTTACCATATGAAAGGAAAAGTTACCAAATCTCTATAAATACCATATATTGTAGTTTTATTGTCAGAATTTAGGTATTTTTCACCGGAAATGTCATTACCATGCAGTACGACAATTTTAACAGAATTTGTTTCTCCTCGCAGCAAAAAGATGCAAAGCGCATACATTTTATTTACATGTATGCTTGTATATTTGTTTACAATGTATAAAACTTTTTTCAATAATTACATTCTTTTATATATTTTTGAAACATAGTGAATTTAAACAACTACTTTTTTCTTATTATTTTGAATTCAAACTTATATATTATTTATGCAATGCGTAAACATACAAGCAGGAATTTTTTTAAATATTTATTTATTAACCTTTTCTAAAAACAAAAATGGAGTATTAAAAACAGTTGAAGGTTTTGTCAATATATAAAACTGAAGTTTACCTCCATTTTTTCTTACAAACATAAAGAAGTTTACATAAATGTTTAAATTTTTTTGTTATCAAACATTAGTTAAAAATGAACAAATGAATTGAGACAGAAAATGCATTAATGTGTATGTCGTGTCGTATGAATGTGTCGTTCAATGTTTTCTCTGAGATAAATTAATTATATAAAAAAAGAGAACATCTTAAAATTTTCTTAATGTTTACATACAATAAGCAATCTTTTCCTAAAATATATCTATTAACCCAATTTTATGATACAATTTCCATGCCAAGTTTTTTACACGTATGCAAGAACTGTCTCACTGTAAATAATGCTTTGAATGTTATGCAATAACATATGTGTCCAATTAGTAAATAATGAATTTCCTTTTGTTTTGTTTCTTATAATATCTTATAAAGCATTGACTGTTTTAGCCATTAATTGAATGTCTCATAATTTTAAAAAGCATAGTGAAAAAACTGAACTTAGTTAGTAGTTAATTGTGCTTAGTAAATTTTATTTACTGTTTATATACTATCAAGTAATCCTTTCCTAAATATATATTCATTAATTTTCATATACAACTTTATCATACAATTTTCGTGTCAAATTTATTTGCACATATGTAAGAACTGTCTCGCATGTAAGTAATGATTCCAGTTTTATGCAATAATATATGTATTCAATTAGTAAATAAATAATTTTTCTGTTTTTTTTAAAAAGCATCAACTATTTAAGGCATTAATTGAATGCCTCTTAAGTTTAAAAAGCATAGAGAAAAACCAATACTTAGTAGACATTTATTTTTTCATAATTCCTTATTCATTGAATTGAATTGAATGTAAGGTTTAAGGGCGCAAAATCTATATTCATTACATTAGGATTTCAATTAGATTTATTAATTTTTTTATATATATTTCCTTAAGTTTAATTAAATTTGAAAAAAATATTTAAAAAAATCTTCTCATTTCAATACTTTAAGTAGCCTGTTCAACTAAAAGTATCAAATAACAATAATTTTAAAATAATTTGTTAATTGAAAATATTTACGTAATTTGATGAAATTTATACGAATAGGACTTTTCGGAAGTATCTAAACACGGTTTAACAAGAGGTCCCAAGCAAGAGAGGCAATATTTGTTAATATTTTAATAGGAATATAATATATTTTTCTACGAAAAATTGAAAAATGTCATTAAATGTCATCCCCCGAACAAGAAGTATGCTTGCCATTTCTCAGTTCCACTCTTGGTTTAGTGTAAAAAATGGATACTTAAATATCAAAACCGTTTCCTGATCTATGCTCCGAGCAAAAATTTCGTAAAAGTGTCGATATAAATATCGAGGAAGCGAGTTTCGTCAAAATTAAACAAATTTTATGTTATTCTATTTTTTTTCCAAAAAAATGTATAAATAAATAAATAAAATAACTCACGTTTTGATATTAAGATCAAAACGCTTCTAATAATCGCGTAAACGTGGGTACCAGATAGGTGATGTAATACAAAGACAGATAGAGCAGAGAGATAAATTGCACCCATGCCCCTAGTGGGATTTGAACCCGGAGCCTCCCTGGTACGAGAATTCGTCCCGTTATTTTCGATTATCTATTCTTTATTCTAGTTTCGCCATTCACGCTAAGAATCTCTCCAACAATGCATTTCTATAAGAGTTTCGATTTGAGAAAACTGTTTCATCATATGTTTGAGATTATATTGTTTGTGTTTCGTCACAAATCACGTGATTTCATGACGAAATGGCTCTCAAAATTAATGAAAAACTGCGCAAGGATTGCTGAATTATCAAAAATGAGTGTTTTATTTCTGAGACTGCAGTAGAAAATTTTGCTTATTATTATTAGTTTCAACAAATAAGTTCTTTTATTCTTATTTTTAATGCAACCGACATAATGATAGCCATCATATAAAAAGTAATAGTAAAGGGCTTCTTAAAATTTTCTTAGTAATGATCTTTTTTTTTAAATGGGAGAAATTTATTCTACCCCACATCTAGATTAATTTTCTATGTAAAAAAAAATTTAAAAAAAAGAAAGAAAGATATCTGCAATATAGTAAATGCTTTAAAAGGCAGTCTTATTTCGACCCAATTTAGGGCCACGATAAAGAAATATATGAATGCATATCTTAAATTAATACATAAAGCACATATAAATATTATTCATATTTTTTTCTGGTTCTGAACTAATAATAGCATTCATATAAATAGTAATAGTAAAGGGCTTCTTGAAATTTTCTTATTAAGAAGGTAGCGAATAAAGCACAAGTCATGCTTATCGCAGCCCTAAAATGGGCTGGCACCCTTATTTCGAGAAGACTTGTATTAATCTATGCAATATTTCCTTTGATGAAGGATATTAAAATTTTCGTCTTAGTGAAAACAGAAATAAGAAAACATAAAAGGTATTATTAAATGAAGTGAACCAAATATATAAAAATACCTATTTATGACATGAAATAGAAAGAAAAAAAAATAGTCACGTGTTTATAACTGTGAATATATGTGTGAACCTTTACTTATAATTTAATCGCTAAAAAAATAACTCTAAAATTAAACTCAGTGGCGCGACAGCCCATGAGGGCCAAGGCCTACTGTGCCCATCTCTGTTTTCTTGACCTTGGGCTCTGGGGTGCAGGAGCAGATGTTCCGGTCAGGTGGTCAGTCGAACGCGGAACCCCCAGTGTTTAGTTCCCAAGCATGCTTGGTACTCATTTATCAACCTACAGAAGGGATGAAAGGCTGAGTCAGCCTTGCCCGGCCCGAGGATCGAACCAGAGACCTGTGGCACGACATCGCGAAGAGCTACTGCTCAGTCACCGGGCGTAAATAAACTTTATTTGTTTGCAATTATTTCTTATATGTCTCTGTGCAAGAAATTCAAATTTATCTTTTTGTGTTAAAAATGAAATGAAACAACTTCTTATTTTTGTCCTTTAAAATTATTTACGGAATTTTATATTATGTATATTTCAAAAACATTTTAATATAAAAAAATTTTACATCAGAATAGTACTATAAAATACTATAAAATATATTAACGGGAAAATGTTAAAAGTCGCAATTTGGAAATAAAAATAAATATGTAAATGAAATAATGAAAAAAAAAAATTGAAGTAGCATGAATATCTGTTTTGAGAAATAGGAGAATAGGAATAAAAATAATAGTCCGAGTTTCGGAGATAAAAGTGGACTGCGATAATTTTAAAATCAATGCCCTACATATTTAAAATATTGTAAGACCTGTGTTTATTTTAAGGCGAAGTTTTAATTTTCTAATTTAATAAATTTATTTTTCTTTTAAGATAAATAGACATAGATAATGGTCAAGACAAATAGTCCAGAAAATACTAGTTTTTTCTTTCTTTTCCATTCGCTATCATAGAGCGAAAATGTGGTACATAGTAAAAAAGAAATAAAAAAACTTATAAATAGAAGTCTTTCCAAACTTTTTTAATCAACTTTTTTAATCGAATTTCCTTTAGTTTTAAAAACAAAATATGAAATTTTTTTCAAGTGTTTTGTTAACTATTTTACATAATTTTCTTCCTTGACAATGAGCAATATATGTGTCGATAAAAGTTGTACTTCAATTTGCTAAAGTGTCTAGAATTTACATGCATAAAATTAAAAAAAAACAAACAAAATAGTAAATTTTTCCACTGAAATGCAGGAAAATATGACATTTTTAGTTATTTTCCAACCCTTAAAATGGTTTTAATATGTTATAGCACTTAAAAAGTAAAGCATTTTGTTTTTAACTCATTCATGTTTTTCACTCATCTTTTTTTTTCTTCAATCTTTTTTATTTCAAAAACTTTAATACTTACGATTTTTATTTTTCAATCCTATGTACGCATTTTTTGCTAGGGGCAAAAATTAAAATTTTTTCTCTGCAGAGTATGATGGAATTTAAACTGGTCAGCATACGAAATTATGTGTAATCTTTCTCGCATCTGCATGAAAAATTCATAGATCATTTTCTCAGTCTCCAATTTTTTTTCCTATAAGCTCAGTTAATTTAACTGTTTATTTTCAA